ATTTCCTAAAAGTGTGTCGTTTTCAGAGGTGTCAGAGGCCCAGAGAGGAGCATCGACCAGTGAATGCACCCAAGACTCCAAGTGCACACCTCCCACCATGAAACATCAGCGCCACCCACCAGCCACTGAGTGAGGGATGAATGTCTCTAACACAACTGCCAACTGACTGCTATCAGCTAGAGAGCGAGCCCCAAACCACAGGCAGACAAAATGCCAAGGTTACAGACAGTTCTTTCCACTCTCTCCCCTGCCTTGGGCAATTTTCCTACCAACTAGTCCTCATCCTTCACACTCCACCTAACCTGGAGCCAGGCAGGCATTTAACAAACTTCCCTTCTCAACCAGCCCAGTCACAGCAGGGGCAAAAGAAATACCATCCTGCTGTGGTATACTGATCAATGGCTTCTTGAGTATCCCAGAGATGGCTGGATCAGGGAAGGGCCAATCCTGTGCTGTAGGAGGTGGCCGGGGCAGTGAGCAGCAGACGTTACCCAAGAGGGTCTTGAGGGCTCAGAGCAGGGGGGGCCCAGATCACTGGGCACCACAGCTGTGAACACAGAGCAGGCCCACCCAGTTCTGTTACTCACTCCACTCCTCAGTCAACCAAAAGACAGGTTTGCTGATAGGCACTCGGTCAGTAGTTTCACAAGGGGACAAGGTAGAGTTAGGCAGCTGGAAATTGAGAGGCATGAAGTGACAGTGGCACTGAGCAGGGGTTTTTCAAACACTACCTCAGCACAATTGGCCCGAGAAACTAAGCTTTAGTGGTTTTCCAAGGCCTATGGCTAAATGAGTAGTACCAAGCGCGCCACACTTGTCACTGCACTGTAGTTAGTCCCCACCCCTGACAAGAACGGCTGACAGAGGCAGGGTTTGAACACAGGGCCTTGCACATGCTAGGCAAGTGCTCTACCACTTGAGCTATGCTCCCTGCCCTTTGTTTTTATTTTGTTTTTGAGATAAGGTCTAACTTTGCCCAGGCTGACATCAACCTTGAGACTCTCCTTCCTCCTCCTCCTGAGTAGCCGGGATTATAGATATGCATCACACTCCTGGCTCTAGATTATTTCAAAAACACACCCAGGGCTGGGGATGTGACATGGCGGGAGAGTACTTGCTTAGCATTTTTGAGGACTTCGATTTAAAGCCCAGAACTGCAAAAAGAAATTGTATATATTATGTGTCAGAGGAACATCCTTATATAAACATGTGCCAGCTCCCCTTTCAGTGGTGAGGATCAGGGATCACCCCTGCTTTCTCCCTGTGGCCAAGACACATTCACAGACAAAGGGACCCACAGGGGTCTTTGCTCTTGGCTCCCTTTAAAGCAGAAGAGTCCTTCCATCAAGCTCTGTCGCCCATGGAAGTAAGCCTAGAGAAGGGCAGGACTGCCTGCAGTTTGACCTACATCAGGGCTGAGATGGCTCTGAAAGACCATCGAATGGGACTCTGTCCAGGTGGAAAACAGGGGCAGCAAGAGAAAGCAGTTTCTATGGTTACCTGAGGCGGTTGCCTGGGGCAATGTGTTGAGGAGTCTAAGACTAGGCAAGGAAGGAGGGCATGACTGAAGGCTGGTTCTCAGCAGCCACAGCTGGACGGAGAGGGGTGCATCATGCTCTTGAGCTTGACCTCTATCCCTTCTCAGGGACTTGTTGCAAACGAGAAAGGTGTCCTTTCCAAGGAGCACGCAGCTTGATAAGTACCGGGGGGCTGGACAGCCAACCTCCCCATTCACAGGTGCTATCATTCAGAGACAATTTGCACAACTGTGCCAAGCAGTCCTGAGTGCAACAGCCATGTGGGAGACCCTCAGACCCTCAACTCTTCTCCAGTGCCCCCACTATTCACTTGTTGTCTGGCAACTTGTAGAAATATTTCTTTGAGGGCTAGGTATGGTGGCTCACACTTGTAATCCCAGCTACTCGAGAGGTGGAGGTAGGAGGATCACGGTCTGAGGTCATCCCAGGCAAAATCATAAGACCCTATCTGAAAAATGAACAAAAAGCAAAGGACTAGGGGGTGTGGCTCCAGTAGTAGAGCACTTGCCTAGCAAGTGCAAGATCCTGAGTTCAATCCCCAGTACTGCCAAATATAAGTATATGTGTAATATGTGTGTGTGTGTGTGTGTGTGTGTGTGTGTGTGTGTTTCTTAGAAACCAGGGCAGGTAATAAACCATCATCCTCTCTTCCACGCAAGGAAATAACTTCTCAAAAGAGGCATGCTAAAACACTGGCAGATAGGGATAAAGACAGCTGTCAGTGCTCCAAAATCTTGGGCAAGGGTACCCACTGCACCCAGGGCCCCTCTTTCTTTGCCTTCATAAAGTGTGTGCTCCTCAGGAGGCAAAGAAGGGAGGAGAACATTCAACCAAGCAGGTCCAGGTTTGTCACATCGTCCTTGGGCGTGGGAAACCTCCATGAGGCTGGTCAAAAGTCCACACCCTGGGTCCTTCCCACTCCCACACACTTCTCATCTCTTCCACTTGGCCTCCACTGCTACCATCTTGGCTCAAATAATTTCCTAATTGGCCACTGTCCTCCTGCTTCATTCCTCATCCATGCTGCTTTCCACAAGGCTGTCCAGAACCTTCCCCAGGCTCCTTGCAGCCTTCAGAATCAGTTCAATCTCCATCACACCTGCTTCGACTTGGCTCTATCCTTCAACCCCTATCACACATGCTAGCCAGGGCAAGCACTGGTGCCTCTTCGCAGAGTGGCCAGCCCATGCCTCCAGGCTATGCTCAAGCCTCCCTCTGTATTGTATGGCCTGTGCAGGGCCACTGCTCCAACCCTAAATCTTACCTAGGCTCTGGCGCTCCCAACTGACCGGACACTCCAGCCAGGAGAGTCTACAGTCCTACACTGAGGCCAGGAAGCAGAGGCTGTGGCCTGGAGACAACCTGATACAGAAATCAGGCGGGGTGTCTTTCACTCAAGGACTTATACCCCCGAGTGGGCCCTATCCAGGCTCCTGACTCCAACTTCCCCAGAACCACTGAGACAAAGGCCTATCATGCATCTGTCTCCCATCTGAGACTCCCCTCTTGGTGGGAGAGGCACCATTCCCTTCCTCTGTGTGTCCCCAAGTCCAGCTGTGGGGTGAAAACCCAGAAATCCTTCGTGTTTAGGCTGAGCCCCGTGTTAGCTAGGTCCATGTTGCTCCTGGGGTCCCTTGTCCCTATAGAAACCAGAGCTGTCCCTATTTGTCCCTACAGGATCTGATTCTTGGTCCAGTTTCAGAAGTGTCGCCTTTGCACGCAGCTAAGTGTCTAGGGACCTCCCTAATACAGGATGGTTATTTGGGGAGGTCCCATGGGCCTGCCATCATTGGCTAAAGCCACCACAAGGTCACAACATAGGTCTGCCAGGTGTCTTGGGCTCCCTCAACAGTGAGCAAGGACTGTGGACAGATCAGGCCTGCTCTCTGGGTCCACCTCTTTCAGAGTCAGCAGCCCTATAAATAGCCAGGATGAACCAGATCCCAAGAAAATTCCTGTTCTGTTACATCTGGAAGCAACAGGCCACAAACACTGCTCCCATGGCAGCTGCTGTAGGAAAACTTTCGTTGTGTGCCTTATCAACAAGCTTTTGGCCCCCTCATGCCAATAAACGTAATCCTATTTACAAAGCTTTACTGCCAATTCATATATTAAATAGGACTATGGGCAAAATTATGCACCCCCAATTCATGTCCTAACCCCCCAGAACCTCAGAATTTGACTGTATACTTAGAAATAGTCTTTAAAGATGTAATTAAAACAAGGACACTAAAATGAACCTTACTCCCATAGGACTGGTATCCTTTTAAGAGGAGGAGATTTGGATCCTGTGAAGACAGATTAGGGGTCATCCATCAGCCAATCAGAGAGGCCTCAGAAGAAATCAGCCCTAAACACACCTCCAGAATTGTGAAATAATAAATTCCTGCTGTTCAATCCACCAAGTATGGAATTTTGTTATGGAAGCCCTAGCAAACTAGTACAGTAAGCCAATTTCTCTTTCTTTTTAAGCTGAAACACACACACAGGACTTTCTAATTTTTTTTCAAACCCTACTTTGAAGGTTACCATCATAGACAGGTGTGAGGAACCTAGTCCCAACTGGATTTTAGCGATCAGGCCATATGCAAGCCAGAAGAAATGAGGTGTTGGGACCTCTGGTCATTTCCCCTTTGGGTCTGAGATACTGGAAGTGGAGAAGAAGGAACCCCCAGCACAAGACCAGCACAGCTGGTCTGTCACAGACCAACCCTTGCAAGTGGACTGACCCCTCCTTTTCCTAAACTCTGCGGATCATCAGAATCACCTGGGACGCCTGGGTCCCTCTCTGGAGTTTGCAGTGGGACCCAGAACTTGTTTTTAAGTGGACCAGGTGATTCTCAGGACCAGGCACTTTTAAGAAATCGAGTCCAGGCCATTTCTTCCCCAGCAGGAGGAGGGTTTGTGGCTGGAGTGCAGGTGCGCGCGCTGCCAAGAGAGCGAGGGAGGCCGATCGATCATCGCGCACAGCTGCGGACGGAGCATGGGTGGCGCGTCCCGCGTGTCGCCCTCTCCCCTCCAGCGCGGGGAGCCCCGCCCCCGCCTCATCGCTTCGAAGGCTCCGAGCCCGCAGTATTTGCCCGTTTACGTGTTGTGCCCTGCGTTCTTTCTTTGGATCAAACGCAGATGGAAGAAGTGCCTCTTGTTTCCCTCACTAGTAACTTTGCGGAGTCCCAGACGTCCTCGTTTTTCTCCTGGGTGTGTCCTGCCCATGACTTTTCTCTCGCGCCCTGGGCCCTTACCTGAAACCCAAGTTCCCCGCTCCCATCTCCGCGGCCAGGGGACTGTCCCAGGCCCCACGGTCTGCGCGCCGGGCGCGGTGGAAAACCGGATGAGCGATACGCAAGACTCTTTGGGGTCTGCGCGCCCCCACTTCCTGGCTGAATGCAGGTTCCTTCCTAACCCTGAAAGATCCCCCCATCCTCGAGCCTGCCCCCAAACCATCCTTCCGGATCGGCTCACCCAGGCCGGCAGGTGCTGACCCCGCAGCTCGCGGCTGATGAACTGGCGCTCGTTGTCCAGGAATTCGAAGGCGGCCTCCAGGCGTCCCAGCTTCCCGCGGCGGTTCCTGCGCCACCACATCCAAAGCAGGGCCCCAAGCAGCAACCAGGTTATGCCGAGCCCCAGGTAGCCGGCCAGGTAGACGGGCGCCAGGTAGAACAGCACCCGCGCCACGAAGGTGTAGAGCTCCGGCAGCAGCTGGCGGGACAGGCGCAACTCAGGACCCGGTGCGCGCCGGGCTCTTCCCTGGGCAGCCGGGGCATCGCGGGCTCCCGGAGCTGCGGAGACTCCGGGCTCCTCCGCTTGCATCAGGTTGTCGCCGTCTTGCCCTCTCCAAAAACTTCACCCGAGCGCAGGCCTGCGCGCCCCGACGTCCCGGCACATGCGTCTCCCAAGCGCGGGGAACCGATCGCCGCGCCCCTCTTGCTCTGCGGAGCTCCCCGGTGCCCTCTCCGCGGTGCGAGCTCGGGGCGCTGCACCTGGGAACCAGGCGAGCGGGGCGGGGCCCAGCGCGCAGGAAGGCCGAAGTCTCCGCCCCCGGGGCGGGGCCAGGAGTTAGAGGGCGGGGCCTCCTGGGCGTACTTGGACTGGTGTGTCTGGAGCAGGCGTCAGCAGGAAGAGCGCAATTGCCACTTGGGGTGGATTCGATACTCTCTAAGTGGCTTGTGACTCACCCTGGCACGAGTACGACGGCTAAACATCCCCGAAAACCTGTTTTCTTCCCCTAGTCTAGTGCAGACTCTCAGGAGACATTCCAGGCTCTCCACGGACCGGCCCAGCTGGGCCTCCCCAGCCCGAGGATGGGCCTGACCCTGTATCCGGGCCTTCCAACTGGCCCTAGACCCTGCAACTCTGTCCCCTGCTGTGACATCCGTAAAGCATGGTCCTAGCCCCCATCACAGCCAAGCTGAGTTCAAGATCCCTCCTGTCCCCCCACCCCCATTCTGCCCCACTCCCCCAACCCTCTCTGCCGGGTCAGTTTGGATCTTTGTTTCCGGCATCAACAGACCGAGAGCTTCTTGGGGCCGGTGACCTGCTTATCTGTGGGGTGCCCGACAAGGACAGGTAACCTCTGGATGAAAGCGGAGCGGGTGGAGCACTGACTCTCTAGGTGTAGGTAATAAGTCATCTTGTGGAGGTCGCACATGGCAGACCGCTCATCGGAGCTATCACGTCAATCACCACAGCACCATTTTCTTTCTTTTTTTCCTCCCCTCACAAAGCGATTTTGAAGTCAACAGACATTCTGTCATGCTTTGGAATTATTCTACACCTTTCATTACTTTTATTGGAAGACTGAGCCCCTGTGGACAACAATCAAAAGATAACTGTAGGGCTGGGATGTAGCTCAGTGGTACAGTGTTTGTCTGGTATGTGCAAAGCCCTGGGTTCGAGCTTGAGATCATAACACACACACACACACACACACACACACACACACACAGAACTGTATCTTGTTCTCTCTGCCCTCCTTTCCCCGCCTCGTTCTTTCTCTTTATCTATCTTTCCTGGATAAAATTACTTGCTGAGGTCAGTTTTGTTTTTTTTTTTCAACAATGGATGTGTTTCTGTTGATTAGAAGACCTGAATCCTGCTCCACTGTTCATAGCCTTCCAGGACTCAGCCAAAACCAAGGCTGAGAGCCCCTCCTGTTACCTGGCATTTTCCAGTGTAGCCTGACAAATCAATTGAAGATGCTGCTCACTTGGTTCCTTTTTGGAGTCATGAAAGTCTCAGAAAGTCCACTAAACATTATTTAGTGTTTCTCAAATTATTTGGCCATCCAACACTTTTTTCAAGTCTTTCTCTCTCCCTCCCTCCCTTCTTCCCTCCCCCAGTGTGGTTCACGCTTATGGATAGGCAACTTCAAGACACTACTTTATTGGTTGTCTGAGGTCATCAGAAAATAAAGAAAATAGCCAGGCACGGGTGATTCACGCCTGTAATCCTAGCTACTCAGTCAGCAGAGATCAGGAGGGTTTCAGTTCGAAGCCAGCCTGGCAAATAGTTTATGTTTGCGACACCCTATCTGAAAAAAAAAAAAAAAATCTCAAAAAAGAGCTGGTGGAATGGCTTAAAGTGTAGGCCCTGAGTTCAAACCCCAGTACCACAAAAAAAAAAAAAAAAAAAAAAAAAAGGATGGGGAGACAGGGAAGAAGATTGATGGTTCTCAGGATGGCCCGACCAGGCTTCTAGTCCCCAGCCATGCAGAGCACAGCACCTTCCCAGGGCTACAGGACACAGGTCTCACAGTCCAGAGAGATTGCCTTGATCCCATTCCAACTCCAACCTCCTGGAGAGAGGATCAAACTGTGTCTCTCATGTCCTTCACATTCTCGCTCCCCCCTGGGTTAGTGTGTTTGGAAAGGAGTGGGCAGATGCTGTGTTTGAGGTTACCAAGAAAGGAAGGTTGTTGGCTGTTAATCAGTGTGAGACCTGTTGATACCAGATGGGACTTTGTTGCTCCTTTTCTATTCCTGAGGTCAAGTTTGCACCTGGAACATTGGAGCTCTAATTTTCCTTCACCTGGACATCTAGTTACTACAGCCAATGAAACCATTTTATAGATTGTTTGATCAGAGCACAACCTGGGGAGAACAAAGCTGTCCACAGCTTTTGTCTGCATTAATTTGAAAGTTCATGGTCACAATACCAGCTTTTCATACAGCAGTGCAAACATTTATTGGCTGTGAGTGAATCGTTTCTCCCCAAAAGCTATGTTCAAGTTCTACCCCCTAGTACCCATAAATGAGACCTTTTTTGGAAATAGTTAATCAAGCTAAGATGGTCCGATGACTGGCACCTTTTTAAGAAAAGGGAAATTTGTACATAGAGAGGGGACACAGAGAGGGCAGAGGGCCATGGGAAGATACAAGTCAAAACTGGAGTGGCTACAAGCTGACGATTGATGGCCAACTCCAGAAGACAGGGAAAAGCAAGGAAAGGTTTTCTCCTGGAGCCTTTGGGGAGAGTTGGCCCTACCAGCATTTGGTTTCAGACTGCTAGCCTCTTGGACTGTGAGAGAAAAAATTCCTATTGTTTGAAGTCACCCACTTGGTGGCACTTTGCATGGCAGCCCTTGGAAACACATACAACCACCTACTGAGTGTCAGGCACCATTCTGGCCCTGAAGATTCAGGGTGAACAGGAATGACAGGGTCACTGCTCTGATCTTCTAGTGAAGGAAGTCAGACAATGAACAGTAAACAAAGAACAAGAAATGTGGAGGCTGTTTTAGCCAGGGTGACTTAAAAGGGGCTCTTTAGGGAAATTAACTTTTGAGTTAAGAACTAAATAAAACTTAAAAGTGTACACACAATTTTATCTTAAGGGGGCAGTACTGGGGTCGAATTTAGGGCTTCACACTTGCTAGGCAAGTGCTCTATCACTTGAGCCATACCCCAGCCCTTTTTGGTTTGGTCATTTTGGAGATAGGGTGTCACTTTTTGTCCAGGCCTGGACTACAGTTCTCCTACTTATGCTCCCCACAGTAGCTGGGATGACACACCCACCTTTTTCTGTTGAGGCAGGGTCTCACAAACTTTTTGTCTACACGCCTCAAATCACAATCCTCCTGATCTCAGCCTCCCAAATAGCTAGAAGTTATAGGCATAAACCACACACCTGGCTAGAATTTCATCTTTTAAGGGCTGAGTGTGGTGGTACAAATCTGTAATCCCAGTTTGGGAGGCACAGTTGGAGGATCATGGTTCCAGGCCAGCCCAGGGGAAAAGTTAGTGAAACTCTATCTCAAAACAAGCTGGGTGTGCTTATGCATTCCTGTAATCTCAGCTACTTGGGAGGCAAAGGTAGGAGGATCCTGATCCAAGTCCAGCCAGGGCAAAAGCATGAGACCCTATTTAAAACACTAAAGCAAAATGGGCTTTAGGGTGTGGCTTGAGCAAATATAAAACCCTGAGTTCAGGCCCCAGTACCAAAAAAGCCAAACCAAAACAAAACAAAAACTATACCTTGGTATCTCATCTTTCCTTCAAAACAGAAAGATAAGCATGGCTCACTGCTAAGTGTCCTTTGTTTCACTTCTGCATTTCATGTGAGGCTAGAGTAATTTCTCTGTCTGTCCTCACTGTCAGCCTGGGCTCTCCTGAGCACAGTGTCTATATCTGACATAGCTTCATGTTGGTGCCCAGGCCCGAACAGGAAAACACTGGAGAAGAGCAGTGAGTACCGAGACTGAGCACTTCCAGGCTCTAGAACTGTGGGAAATTCCTTAATTCTTGGCTGACCTGCTCCCCCATCTGTAAGTCAGAGGGTGGCCATGAGGACCAAGAGAGATTACACTCGGAGGTGTATAGACACGGAGATGGAGAAGTGGTCAAGGAAGAATTTGGTTTTGTCTGGATGGCTTGCTTTTTACAACAGGAATGTATTTGTGTGTAATTTTTATTGAGGTCAAATGTAGGGAAAATATTTTCTCACTTCACCATTGCGAAGTGTGCAGCCAGGGGTGTTGAATAGACAAGTGTTCTTGTCCAACCGTCACCACCATCTGTCTCCAGAACTCTTTTCATGTTGCAAAACTGAAATTTGAGCACCATTAGACAGCAAATGACTGCTCTACTTTCTGTCCTTACGATTCTGAGTACTTAGGTGCACCAGATAGATGGAGTCATGCAGTGTTGTCTTGGGCCTGGCTGGTTTCACTGAGTGTGACGTACTCAAGGATCCACATGTTGTAGCATCTGTCAAAATGTTTTTCCTTTTTTGGTTTTGTTTTTTTGACAGGCTGGCCCAAGCTGGCCTCAAACTCTTGAGTTCAAGCAGTCCTCAGCTCCTGAGTAGCTGAAACTACAGGCATGCATCACTATACTCAACTGGTCCTTCTTTTTAAGGCTAATTAGTTTTGGTAAACTAATTGTTGTTTTGGTTTTCCATTAGTTGGCTAACTAATGTAAATTTTTTTCCTAACATTTTTCCACTCAATCTACTGTTCAGAGGCCTAAAATAACTTTCGAATGTCTTCTGTGATGAGAAGCAAGCTCTCTCTTCTGACTCCAGGTAGCAGCCCCAGTTGTCAGCAGAGAATCTGAAGTCTTCTCACACATGGGTCTCAGAAACAGGTCAGTCTGTGTCACACACAGGTCAGGTTTCTCCGGCCTGGGAGTTTGTGTCAGTTCTGAGCCTGTTACCTTGCTGAAGCTTGTTCTCCATCCGCCTCTCTGGGTATCATCAGGATACAGAATCGTGTCCCAGGGCTGACAGATGCGGGTGTTCACCAAAGCTGTGTCCCCTGGGGTCTCTCCACCTGGTCTCTCAGGCAGTCCACCCGGACTCTACAGCTCTTCTCCAGCTGGAGGTCCATCCCAGAGTCGTGTTCACCACTAATGTCCTGAGTCCCGTGCTGGCCAGGGTGCCCGCTGGCTCTGCAGAGAAAGGGCCAG